ATTACTTTTCTGAACTGGTGGCCTTGTTGTGGGTCGAGTGGTAGGAGAAAAATAGCGACCTTTGCAAACCAGGCCCTGCGGAAATCGGTATCTTGTCGCGCAGTCGATTGAAGTCCAGCGTCCGTTAATACTCATTACGCAGTTACCGGAACCTCCGCCTCCAAAATTGGAAAAGGTCAGTGGTCGGCCGTCTTCCCACACCCAACTGGATCCCGATTGACGAAGGGCAAGCCAGTGCCTGTAATCAGCAAAGCCTAAAAGGTTTTGGATCTGATGAATTTTATGTTTCAAATCTAGAAACATATTAAAAAATCATGAAGTAGTGGAAACGTGATTTATCTACTTAAACTTCGTACTATCGACAAATGACTGCTCGGCCTGCGAGTCGAGTATTAAGAGACGCGTAAAGTTCGATCGACTGCATATAAGAGACGCCTGTTAATAAGTTATATTTGTCCTTACCTAAAAAGTGGCAAAAAAAAGCATTTTTTTCTTTTCTACTTTTGACATTATTTTTTAAATATGCAAAAATTTATTTTTTAATCTCTCAAAACGTGTTCCTTTGCTGTCAATAAGAGTTTACTGTATAATAACACCATCTGCTTGAATATCTCCAAAATCTAATTGGGCAAGGATTTGACTTTATCAGAGAGTCAGCCTCTAGTAGAATGATGAAGAAGATTATCGTCGGATAGACGAACAAAACCAGCATAGCTTTTGAGGACGATACGAGAACGGTCAAATTTGCGGAACAGGAGGCTAATCGAAATCGATTGCAGAAGCTACCATGTCCGCAAACTGGACGTAAAACAGAAACATTAAATAAAGGTAGGAATAATTATGCACATTCTTTTAACACAGTCAAGAAATTTTGTTTTCTGTTACACACCAATCTTTCTTTCGGTTTTTTGTCGTTTAAGGAGAATATCTTGATTAGTCACAACTTTTTTAAAAAAAGTTTTCATATGTTTGTCAGGAACTCTATATCAAGAAATTGCTTACCAAATTTTCTTTGTCAGTTTGTATACAGTATATTAGTACATGCTTGTAACTGTGATCCACCGCTTTTTTTATGAACAGAAGATTTATCTTATTATATATAAAATAGAAAGCAGATCTTTATGCCTAAGAAAACCGTTTTTTACCCTGTTGTTGTTTCTGAGCCCAAAAATGATTAGTCAGTGGCGTTGTCGCATCTCAGTTCTTCCGCCTCCTTTGTTCTTCCTTTATAAATCCAGCTACCTATATTTGTTTTGTTGCCTCTTCAAAACTTTCAGTATATTGTATCGCCGCACGTTATTCTGTGATAGTATTCGACGAGCTTCTGAAGATTAGACAACGTGATTTACCGTTTTCTGCTTTTTTTGACTGGTGCGCTAATAGCTGTTCAGAAATGTTGAGAGCTGAACGGAAGATGTAAAAATGGTGACCAAGATAGAGTCAGTTGACATTAAATTCCCGCTTAGTGCTGTAGGCCAGCCAGTAAATGAATTTAACCCGACGGCTGATGAATCTACATCATGGCTGAGCAGGCCTAATATTTTTGTTGCTATTTCAAAAGTTTTTCAGATGAGTAAAGATGTTGCGCGACAAATTTGTTGTCTTCTACTGTTTGTCATTTGTTTTGGGCAATTGTAAATCTTGACAGATAATTTCATTCTCGTATATAGATATCAAATTATAGAAATAAGTACAAGAAAAACGTTTCTGCACAGCGACCAGCAATACTGATACAGTGTTATTTTTCATAACGTATTAAAATACTATTTTTTTTTATAAATTTAAATTACATATTTTAATCGTTTAATTAACACGTGAAATTCAAGTAAGATTAGGAGTTTGTATACTTTTTAGCTGAAGATTATATTAAGGCGTTGACTTCTAAACTGCATCTGAAGAGTAACTATAATGTTTGCTGAAACTTCTGGTGGCATTTCAAAACTATTTTCACTTTTTTCACTTAGTGGTTGTGTTTTAGTAAAGTTCACATTTACTTAAAATTTTACTGTTCAAATGGCATAAATGATTAGTGCAAGCTAAAGATTAGGTTTACCTGAACATAAGGCCTAATTCTAGGCTTTCGAGAAAATGGTAATCAAAGCAAAGCAAAAACAGTTAGGCTAAAGCATCTGATTTAATTTTTTGTTTTTGTTAACCTTTTTGCGTGGTTTTCTTACAGCTACGTAAAACCATGGACGATGTAACCCGAATCTAATGATTTGTCGCGTTTTTTGGACAAAAGGACAGCTAAAGAATTCTTCTATATAACTTCGGTCTGTCACTATCGAAACCAGTTTTAAAAAGATAAGGAAAACCAATGGTAAGGATAAATATGTTGCAAACAAAACATTGTAACTTACGACTTCAACTAAAGTTTTAAAGAGACACTATTAAATGTACCACAAGCAGCAGTCACATCAAAATCGGTAGTTATGAAGTACTCTTGTAATATAAATGCTGAGGAGCTATCATTATGCATAAAAAATAAACCCGAATATCTGGTATCGTTTTATCTCATTAATATTTCTCCAAGAATTATTTGCTGTTAATTATGAATCAAAGTTAAAAACTTCTTACAAAAGTCGAAATATAGACTACTGTAGGAAGTGGTGCGTCATGTTTGCTTCACAGAAGAAGAGGAGAGCTCAAGGTCAATCCTCGCTAGATAATACTCAGATAATTAGAAAGTAGTGCTAGATAATTGCATTTTATGGAACGCTTTACAAATTCTGCTTCTTGTTGCACAGCTATTATGGTTTCGTGCTTCTGTTTTATATCTCGACTATTCATTAAAATTTTATTCAACAAAGCTACGTGTTTCATTCTTGTTAATTATTCTGTAACCAGTACTCGTTCAGCACGTAGACGCAGGCTCTCAATCGAAGAAAAAAAAGTATTTTAAGAAACTGTCTGCTGCATTATCCTATCACTGATGGTATGCGTAATGTACGGAGTGTGACATTAGGGCAAGTATAGATTTTTTATCAAGCATTGTCCAAAATAGAAACATCTCATCTCAATCACTTATAGCAGTGAATGTTGGTTTTGGAACAGCATTTTAAAGCAGACAACGAGTGTTCCTTTTACTTCGTTTTTCAGCGTATCGGCAACCGGCTTCAACAGTAATGGACCGATGGTGCTCCAGTATTAGCTAACCAGCAACGATTACATGTTCTTGGACACTGATAGCTGATATAGTGGTAATAGATTCTGTCATTGCAAAATGACCTTCTTTCTGAACAATCTGTGCGTCCGTTTGGTCCAACTCTATCCTGACACGTTAAAGGCGTTGCTAGAAATAATCTTAACGGCTTAAAAAGAAAAAGTGATTACACTTTTTTTTTCTACTTTATCTTTCAATAATTGAATGAATCTAAAAAAAAATTACTTTCCTGAACTGGTGGCCTTGTTGCGGGTTGAGTGGTAGGAGAAATATAGCGACCTTTGCAAACCAGGCCTTGTAAACGAAAGTATCTGGTCATGCAATTCATTAAAGTCCAGCGTCTGTTTATACTCATTACACAGTCACCGGATCCTCCGCCTCCAAAATTGGAATAGGTCAGTGGTCGCCCGTTTTCCCATACCCAGCCGGATCCCGATCGGCGGAGGGCAATCCAGTATTTGTGATAAGTAAAACCTAAAAGACTTTGGATTTGATAATTATATGTTTCATATCTCGTAACATATGAGGAAATTATGAAACAGGAGATAGCCTCATTTATCTACATAAACTTTTTACTGTCGACAAATGACTGCTCGGCTTGTGAATCGACTGTTAAAAGAGACGCAAAATTTGTTCGCTTACACATATAGGACGCTTGGTAATAAGTCGCATTTGCTATCATCTGGAAACTGATAAGGAAAGTTACTTCTTTTTGTTTTTTACCAATACTTTTTAGGTATTCAAAAATTTGTTTTTCAGTTTCACAAAGGTGTTTTTCGCTGCCAAGAAGAGCTTACTCTAAAATAACAAAACCCATTAAAATATTTCCAAGAATTGTTTGGGCAAGGATATGGATTTGTCCGAGAGCCAGTCTCTGGTAGAAAGATAAAGAAGATTGTGCTCGAAAGTAGAAACAAAACCGGCATTGTTCCAAAAAAGGCACAAGAACGACCAAGTCTTGCAAACAGTAGGCTAATCGAAATCTGTTCAAGAAGTTACTTTGTCTACAAACTAGACATACAACTGAAACAATCGGTGGAAGTAGGAATAATTATGCACATATTTATAGAACACTGCAGAAATTCTGCTTTCTTTTACAAAAAAATTTTGATTTTGATTCTCTGTCGTCTTACAGAGAATAACTTGATTAGGTACAAGCTTTAAAAAGTAGTTTTCAAATGTTTGTTAGAAAAGTCATTTCGAGAAAATGCTTATAAAATTTTTGTTTCTTAGTTTCTATGTAATATTTAAGTAAATTACGTGTAAATAACTGTAAACTGTCATCTTTTTCTGGCAAAAGATTCACTTATTAATATGAAATAGGAGACAAGTTTCTCTGTTTAAGTAAACCGTCTAGTGCTCTGCTGTTATCGCTGAGCTCGAAAGTGGACGGTTAGTGCCGTCAAGGCTTTTGAGATTCTTTTACCTCCACTGTTAGGTATTCATAAACCAGGCACCTGCATTTGCTCTCTTGGTTCTTCAAAGTTCAGATCAGAATTTCGCTAAGTGCTATAGTTCAACCACTAAATGAATTTGTCCCAACGACTGATGAATCTACATCATGGCTGAGCAGGCCTAATATTTTTGTTACTATTTCAAAAGTTTTTCAGATGAATAAAAGATTTTGCGTGTTAAATTCGTTGTCTTCTGTTATTGTTATTGTTACTATTATTGTTATTGTAATTATTATTGTTATTGTTATGTGTTTTGAGCAATTGTAAAACCTTGATAGATAATTTCATTCTTGTATATAAATGACAAGTTATAAAAAAATGTATGAGAAAAACGTTTCTGCACAGCGATCAGCAATACTGATACAA